CGTCACGTGACACTGGCTGTCCGTGTCCACCTTTGGACGATCGCAGACGTACGTGCGCGCGATGACTGATGCGAGCGCGAGAGGCGGAGCACGGCGCGCCACTTGCGGTCGCGCATTGGCTGTTCAGCGGTCGCGTGGCACGCGTTGCCGGTCGGCTGTGTCGTCTCCTTACGGTGGTTCGCACGGTGTTCTTCCTTTCATCGTCGTTGGTGCGCGGCGACGGTTGCCGCCTCCAGCGCCAAACGGTCTTTCCACATGGTACTGGTTCTGCCGGCCGGTTAACCGACCGACCGACCGGTAAGGGCCAAGCCAAGCGAATGGCACAACCGTCGTTGCCGCTTTTGTACTGTACAAACAACAGTGGTCGGACAGCGGCGATATTAACGTTAGACAACGATAACGTTAGGCGACGGTAAGTCCATTACGCATGAAACCAATGCCGTGCGGAAAAGACCCCTTTCATTAGCGCGCATTTAATACCGATCATCGTGTAGGGATAACGAATTATCCGTTTTTTATATGCCCAGTACTTTCAGGATGGAGATTTTCCAGCAGCTATCCTCGTCCGCACCTGCGTCCTCGTCAGTCCAAACACCGGTGTCTTCGGTTGAACCTGCGTCTTCGCCAGCATGCGGTGCTGCGCTTGCACCTGCCGAAATGGCTAACATGGCTTTAGATTCACAAGACCTTGCGACGGTATGCTTCGACGACAATGCTAACGTCGTCATGAACGTTTCGATGACATCCAATAGCGAGCAAATTCGCCGCCGTCGTCGAGGCCACTCGAACGATCCCATGGCGATAGCCAGACGCAAACGTACGGTCGACGGCCATCGCAACGCTGCTACCACCTCACCGAAGCGGTCACTGTACGACGTGATCAGGAACCTCACTGACCCGGCTAATGGCAAGTTTCCAACGGGCATCAGTCCGAAGCACTTGTACAGCTATATCGCGAACATGCCATCGGATGAGAAGAGCTCAAAGAGCCGCAATCAGCTGCAGGTACAGCTGTTTCGCGGTGTCAGACTGGGCCGGGTGGTCAGGCTATCGGTCGGACTGTACACGGCACCCGAGCACGTCACCTGGAAGTCCTCTGCGGGTCTGTGCAACGGAATCACGTTGTCGTCTGATGCAAGCAGGACTGCATCAGCGGCAGCTGTCCTAAGTGAGTCCATGTCGACGAATAAGCCGCCTGCGGCGATAGCGACCGGTAATGGGGAGCAAAATGACGTTGAAATGCAAGCGAATGACCGTGGTAATATTCTTAACAAATTAGACCCCGTTGCGTCTCCGCTGGACTCGCCTCAGACAGGTAACACGCCACAGCTGTTTTTCACGGATGCCCATACAACTCTCAGCGTTTAGGCAATCGCCCAATGCTTGGGTGCGAAAGTGTGACGGCCGTCTGCAGACAAAAGCCACTTGATCGTATGGACTTGAGCATCGATCGTGTTGTTGCCTCCGCAAGAGAATATGGCCGGAAGCATTACGGCGAATTTTCCTCACTACGTAGCTACTGTTACCCGAAGCGACATCTGCAGCGCAGTGCATCTGCGCAGCCCTACACCGAATGTTCCTTACCCAGCAGTCATAGCTGTGTGATGACGAACTTGTCGAAAACCGAATCTACGCAACCTCCCTGTGAACCCTCGATCTGTGGCGACGATTATGGGAAGACAGATTTGCCGCACGAGACTGCATCTGCGCAGCCTCACTGTGAATCCTTCTCCATACATGGCAACGAATGTATGTGCAGAAATTCGCAACTGACTAAATT